GTCTCCCCATCCCTGTAAATTGGGTGTGGTGGGTGGGATTCCCTCTGGGGTCCTCTCTGGCTCTGACCAGCTCCTTGGCTCTGTTCCTGCAGGTGGTCGTCAACCTCCTGTCAAGCTCGTCACCGCAGCGGGTGAGATGGATGGTCACGGTGTCAACCCTTCTGGTCCGGGGTCCCGGGACCCCTTCCTGGCCTGGGAGGGAGGAGGCCTCAGGAAACTCAGGCCCTGATCCTGGCAAGCCATGTTTCTGTAGTGTGCCTCAGTCTCCCCTTCTGTACAACAGGAGCAGTACTGTTTAGGGTTACGTTCTCAGCCTCTTAAGTCAGAGGGTTCTAGTACACACTGGCTGTGTGGCCTTGGGTAAATCACGTAAGCTTTCTGGGCCAGAAGGTCAAGCAGTGGCATAAGAAAGGACCCCTCCCCCCGGGCATGGGGGTGCTTATGAGCAGTCACTGAGGTGACGCATGGAAAGCCCTTCACACAGGCCTGGTGCAGAGTGAGTTCTTGATAAACATTAGCTTTTTTTAAAATGGTGAGGATGAGAGTCAGTCAACTCCTCTGGACCACGACTCCTGCTCCCACCTCCGCCCCTCCCCTTCCTGGCTGGGTGCCACCCAGACTGACAAGTCTCCTCCGGCCTCCCACAGAAAAAGGTGCACTGCATCAACATGGACAGCCTCTCCTTCCAGCTGGGCCTCTACCTCAGCCAGCACTTCCTCCAGGCCTCCAACACCATCGAGCTGGGCCAGCAGGGCTTTGTGCAGGTATGGACTTGACCTCTCAGGCCTGCCAGCCCCTGGGCTTTCTCAGGGCCTTTCTTTCCACATTAGTCCAGAGAAGATGAGAATTTAACTGCCCGGAGGAAGGAGGGAGCCAGCATGGTACACGGTGGAGGGGAGAGACAGAAATGATTGACATGTCACCTCCTCCTTATTTGCTCCAGGCAGGCCATGACTTGCCTTCCATCTTCAGGGCTTAGAGGCTGGAACTCTAGAATGAATCTAGCTTATTGCACAAGAGCAGGTAGAGTGGAGGGTTAATGGTAACTGACCATGCCTTGTCCCCCTTCCCCACCCACGCAGGTGAGCGTGTCCCCACTGATCCCGGAGCTCATGTTCCAGCTGGACAAATGCCAGCTGGATTTGGGGCCCGACGCAGAGCCCGTGGAACTCATCCAGAGCCAGGCAGCCAAGGGCAGCTGTGTGAGCCTGCTGCCCCCGAGCCCTGATGGGGACATGCGCTTCAGCTTCCTCCTCCGTGGCTACATGGTGCCCACACCCAAGACTGGCACCCTCAGCTGCACCATAGCCCTGCGTGCCAGGACTTGGTCCCTGGTGAGTGGGGGCCTGGGCCAGGCCCAGCTTCAAGGGTGGTTCCTGGGTCTGAGGTTTCCAGGAAAGGACACGATAGCCAAGGAGGATGTGGGACTAGCTGGCAAGGGGCAGAGCCACAGTCAGGCATGTGGTTTCTAGCTACCAGGGGCGCTCTTTCTGCTACCCTACGGCCTTCTGATGGCTTTGCTGTATCTTGGACATTGGTAGGATATGCAGCTGCAACCATCCATCCGTCCATCCACCATCCCGCCCAGTCATCTACGCATCTTCCCGCTATCCCATCCAGTCATGCATTCATCAGTCAGTACTTCTCACCATCCCACCCCGTCATTCGTCCACAGTCCTTCCACCATCCCAGCTATCCTCCTGCCATGCCACCCAGTCATCCATCCACCCACCTACCCGTCTATCCATGCAGTGTGATCGCCAGTGTAATCTCAGTAAACAGGAGCCCTCAGGGAAGAGGGTTAAGACAGGCCGCAACATTCTGATTTTCTGCACTTACTGGTCAAAACGCTTCACCGTCCAGTAGATCTCCACTCTCAGGCACTCAGCCCTGGACACACTCACGCGGTCATCCCCAGACCCTTGCACACAGAAGGGTCTCCAGCATTAAAAACCTCTCTAGCTGTATGAACCTAGAGAAGCCTCTGGGGCCACTCCTGAGTGGGCCTCCCCCTCCAGCCACAGTGAGCCTGAGGTCTCTGGGCTGACCTGGCTCATCTCTCCAAGGCGTTCACAAGGGTAACGGATGCAGCACAGACGGCTCCCACAATCCTCATGGGAGTCAGGGGCCTCCCAGGAACTCACAGCAAACATTCCAGTAGCAGCCAAGAATTGTCCGCCCAACACCCTCCCACAGTGTGGATCTCCCAGGACTTGTCCAAAGGCTCCCAGCTAGAAAGTGGTAGGGATTCAAAGGCAAGGCCACAGGGTGGGCTGTGACAGGCCAGGGTCACGGAGCCAGGGAGTAAGCCTGGGAGCTTCCTCTTGAAGGCTGTGTCACACACCGCTCTCTCTTCCTCCCCCAGGAAGTCCACAAGACTGTGTCCATGCGCCTGAACATCGTCAGCCCTGGCATGCCTGGTGAGCTCCCTCTAGGTCTCTCTGGGGTTCCAGTGGCTGAGTCAGAGCTGGCCACCATGGACGGCCCAGAGGGGTGGGGCCTAGGCACATAGCAGGGAGGACCCCAGGGAGGAGGGGTTCAGGAGAGGGGCTTCCCAGCAGCCTAGAGGAGGATCCACAGCTGTGTCTTCTAGATGGAGAGCCTGTGCTCTGGCCACCCTGTGGGACAGGATTCCAGGCCTTTGGCTCTTCTCCATCCCCATGGTTGCTGGTTGACCGTGCTCGGGGGATGGGGCCTCCAGAGTCAAGTCTGGATGGGACAGAAGGCACCTTGGGGGTGGTGCTGGCCTCATCTTCCTTAAGGCCCCCAGTGTGGAGGCCACCCCCTTCAGCCCAGCACCCTCTGGCTTCTTTGTTAGTTCCCCCTGGGTCCAGGCTCCAACCAGGCAGAAGAGTGCCTGACACAGAGAACAGAGGTGGGGTGGCACCCTTCTCTTTGCTGCCTGACCTGGGCCAGGATGGAGCCCCTACTTCCAGCCCATGACCAAGAGAGCAGGGCTAATAACCCCATTGCATGCATGGGAATTTAGAGGCCCAAGGGGAGGCCACCTGGCCTGTAGTCACACAGGAATCAGGAGTGTGGAAGGAATGAGGCTTTGGAAAACCCAAGAGCAGAGCTGAAGAGCCCTCAGAGGTGCTCTGGCCCATCCCTACCATGGCAAAAGGCTCAGAGAGGGCCAGGGACTGACCTAAGGTCACACAGCAAGGCGGGGCAGGCTCTGGACTCGCAGGCCCCACTCACTCTTTGCTCAGATTATACCATCTGTCCTCCCTAAAATGCATCTCCATCAGCCTTGGGAGGCAGAGGCATGGCCCAGAAGGCCTGAGTGGATGGTCATAGCATCATAGCTTCGTGCCAGGCATGGGTGTGATGAACCATTTGCTAGATGAGGAGACCGAGGTTCAGAGAAGTCAGGGTCAGTGACTGCGCTTGAACTGGCACCAAAACTTGTGCTCCCGGCCAGCACAACAGGGTAGGGGCCAGCACGGGGGCTGGTGGGAGGCTGCAGTGCTGACTGCAGCTGTCCTTCCCTTGGTTGCACAGGCAAAACTCTCGTCCTGCCCGCTGTGCTGGGCATCACCTTTGGCGCCTTCCTCATTGGGGCCCTGCTCACCGCCGCGCTCTGGTACATCTACTCGCACACACGTGAGTATCCCAGGCCCCCACAAGGAGTGCTCAGGACCCCTCCACCACCACCTGGGGGAGCCCGGCGAAGCCTCTGAGGGAGTGGGGAGCCCGGGCCGGGGCCCTGACCTCCGCCCCTGCCCTCCGCCCCTGCCCCCAGGTCCCCCCAGCAAGCGGGAGCCCGTGGTGGCGGTGGCTGCTCCGGCCTCCTCAGAGAGCAGTAGCACCAACCACAGCATCGGGAGCACCCAGAGCACCCCCTGCTCCACCAGCAGCATGGCGTAGCACCCAGCCCGGAGCCCTGGGGGCCACCCAGCCAGCCCTCGCCCAGCAGGAGAGACTGAGCAGCCACCAGCTGGGAACCACTGGTCATGAACTCACCCTGGGACCCCAGCCCCTCCACTCGACCAAGGATGGACCATGCCCTCTGCAGCCGCCCCTCCTGCCTCCCTCTCAGAGGCCTGCTGCCAGCCGGGGCACCAGCTTGGAACACCTTGGGGTCTCCCCACCCCACCCTACTGAACCTTCAAACCCAGTGGGCCTGGGGTGCGGCTGCCCAGGACCACAGAGAGAGAGACCACTGCCCTGTATGTCCACATTGTTGTAGAAACCCAAGTTCCTGTTATTTTAACCCGGATCCAGCACTCGGTGACCTGCGCTGGGCGGGAGGTGAGAACTCAAAACAGACTCTGCCCAGCCCACCCAGGCCGACAGCGCCTCCTCCATGGGAACAGAAGAGGGCCAGCCCGGAGCCACCAGATCTGGCCCCAGCAGCATCCACGCTTGGACTGGCACAACTTTGGCAGAGGAAACAGAAACCTAAGGGTGCCCAGCCTGGGAACCAGGGAGCCTAGCACCTTCCTACTACTGCCACATGGAGACCCCCGCCCTCCTGTGCCATCAGGAAGGCAGCCGATGGGGAGCAGCCAGGCTGCCTGTCCTGGGCCCACCTCTATATACTCACCACCAATAAATCAGACCATGAAACCAGTGCTGGGCTGGGCTGGGAGAAGGGGAGGGGCCCCTAAAATGGGGGCAGGGGGTGACAACTCTGGGTTCAAATCCTGGACCTGCCACTTATTGGCTGTGTGACCGTGGGCAGGTCCCATGGCTCCTTTAAGGCAGCCACAGTTTCCTCATCTGTAACATGGGTAAGATAATTCTCCATCACAAGGTCTCTGCGAGGAGGTCTGCAATGCAGTGCCTGGCCTGTGGTCAAGGGACACCAGTCCAGTCTTCTCATTTCACAGACAGGCCACCTGAGGCTCTGAGGGAGGGAGGGACCTGTTCCAGGCCACACAGCCCGGGCTCCTACACAATCCATTTCCTGTACCAGCTGCAGCCCCCATCCCCCTCATCTGCTAAGGGAGCTAGAAGTCACGAGTCAATCAAATGTTTTGCCATTTCTTTTTTGAAAAAAAATTAAAGGCTTTAATGCACACCAGCCACCCTCTGTCCCCAGAGAGCCCCAGGCAGGGACCCTTTCCTTTCCCAGAAGGCCACTGGGAGGAGAAAATCTATCAACCAGCACCTGGCAGGACCTGCGGCACAGCCAGGCAGCTCATACAATATGCTGGACCTGAGGCAGGAAGCAGGGGTGGTGGGAGGGAGATAGGCTGGATCGTCCGTCAGGCCTGCTACAACCGGGAGGGCAGGAGAAGCCAAAGGCACCTAGGCTCAGAGACAGGATGTCCAGTCTCAGCTTCCCACTACCAGCCCTCTACTCCACTGCCCAGAGCCCAGGCCCCTGGACCAGTCTAGACAGAATCAGGAAAACAGGAAACAAGAGGCACTTAATATAGAAGTTCATGGAGAGACGCGGGGCAGGTGTGGGAGGCCCCAGCTCCAACCGCACCGCCTCGGCTACTGGGACAAGGAGGGCTCTAGCAGCTTCAGGACACCCCCAACTAGGTGCAGGCTGCCTGTGACCAGCACGTGGATGGCAGCAGCCTCACGGAGCATGCTGGCCCCGTGGCCTGCCACAGGGTGGGCAAGGAGGCCCCGTGGGGGACTGGGCGGCTGAAAGACAGGGTCCCGGCCTTGGCTGATCCACTGCAAGGCGTGGGAGATGCAGCTGAAGACAAGGGAGCTGGTGCTGAGGGGGTGGGGCAGGCGGGGTGCCAGCAGCAGGGATGTGGGCGCACCAGGCTCCGTGCTGGGGGTGTTCCAGAGGTTCAGGCTGGCCTGCCCCTCATCCAGGAGGCTCCAGTGTTGCTGGTGTGTGAGGCAGCGGAGAAGCACCTGGTCCAGCGTCACCATGAAGTTCTGCTGGTCTGCAGGGCACCAGGACGGGCACATCAGTGCGGGGGATGGGGATGGGGGAGGGGCAGCCACACTGTGTGCACCTGCTTAATGCTGGGCCCTTTATGTGTATCATCAGTCCTCACAATGCATGCTATGAGGAAACTGAGGCTCAGAAACGTTCAGTGACTTGCCCACTGTCACACAGCACGTGAGAAGCAGAGCCAAGCAGTTTAGCTTCAAAGCTGGGGCTTCCACCCACTGAGCACATCTCCGCGTCCTAGCCTCATTGCCGTCATCTATAAAACGGACAGGGTCTACCATCACATGGGCATAAGAATATCTAGAAATGCAGATCCCTGGACTCTCCCCAGACAGTCTAATGTGGGGCCTGGGGAGCTGTAATTTTGACAACACTATTTTAATTTTTTTTGAACACGATCCACAGTAAAAAATACATTTTACAATGGCAACCCAATACTCACATATGTGTGTGTGTATATATATATACACATATTTGTCTGGAACAGAATCTTCATAAAACAGGACCTACCCTTACTTCAAGCAAGGCACCTTGATATTTTCTAGTCTATTCTATTTTGTTTAAAATAAAAAATGCTGGTTGAGACCCACTAAATTGATTTCAAGAACCATCAGTGGCTTGTAACCTGCATTTTGAAAAACGTTTTCCCCAATAATTCTTTTTTAGTACTGCCGTTGCATAGTACAAATTCAAAATGTACCAAAGGATATTAATACAATAAAACAAATATCACCCCTACCCAGACCTCCAGTTCAGAAGCCCACTGTCACCAACAGAGCAGAGCCGTCTGGCCCCTGCCCACCCCCAGGGACCACACCTGTCATTTCTCACCTTCGTTGCCTGTTGGTGACATCTCTGTCAGGTTGGGGCAGAAAACAGCATAGTGAAACTTGCAGGGCTATAAGGCCAAAAGGAAAATCCTGGTGTCAGAGCCCTGAGAGGATGCCCCTGACCCCGACTTCCCCACAGCACCCCCCAAGCCCATCTCTGGAGATGCCCCCCCAATGCCGGCTGAACTGGAGTGATGCTGCATAAACCCAGGCACAGCACTTCAGTGGCCCCCTGTCTGCCTCAATATATGCTGCCTGGCCTGTGGCCCGGGGAAGCAAAGCCACGGCCACTGTACAGATGGGGAAAGAGAAGTTTGGTGGTGGGGGCACTTGCTTAAGGTCACCCCACTACTGAGCGGCCCCAAAACCAGGCTGGGGAAAAGGCTTTGCACAAGTGAGAGGTTCTGGATAGGAAGAACAGCCCAGCCTTCTGGTCTGTGAAATGGGAGATGACCTCTAGGAGCCAGTCAGCCCTGACAGCCTAGGGCAGCCTCAGTTTCCCCAGCAGAGAAGGGCCCCTGCATGCTTTAGAGCCCAGTGACTCCTTAAACTGAACTTAAGCAGTAGGTATCCTTGGTCGCACCCCCATTTTATGGAGAGGCAAACTGAGGCTCAGGGAAACGCCATCTCTTGTCCAGGGTCACATGCTAGTGGTTGAAGGGCCACAACAACTGAGTCCAGAGCCTGCACCTTACACCACGACCTGGCCCTCCCTTTAACCCTGGGCTGGAGTCTGACCACGGAGAAGAATGAGGGCAGTGACTAGACTTCCCCACGTGCCCGATGCCTTTACATTTAATCCCCAGTACAATTCAGGGGAGGGGGGAATCAGCCCCATTTTACAGATGAGGAACCGGAGGCTCAGGGATGAAGGCACCGATGGGGTCCAGACAGCCAGAACCAGGGCTGGGCTGCCTGCCGCCCGCCCCCCAGGCGGCCCCTCACCTGCAGCAGCTTCATCAGGGCCGCAGGATCCCGGTCCCCGGTGGAGTTAAAGAGCAAGACACGCACCTCAGGCCCACTGCGAGAGGGCGAAGAGTGGGGTCAGAGAGCGGCGCCTCTCACCCCTTCTCCGCGGGCCCCGCCCCATCCTTCCTCCAGGAACTTCACTCCCGCCCTCCTGGTGCTCTCCCGCCGGGTCCCAGCGTCCCGCCCCTCCCCTCTGGCCCAGTTCCGACTGGGTCCCGATTCCCGCCCCC